AATCCATGACTAAATGGATGCAGCGATTTTATGGTAAATATTTATAATAAAAACCATAACCAATCCCAAATTTTAAAAATTCTGATAATTAGCCAAGTCTCGGATGAAAGTCAATTTTACTTGAGATTATACTCAAGATTTAAAATAATTAGCATTTCCTGGGGAGGGGGGGGGGGGTTAAATTTACACATCATAAATTAAATAGAAAAAGAGTTCCCATCTCGCTGAGCTCTTTAAATCCCGGAAGCAGAAGTTGTCACTTGTATTCGCGATCCCCAAAAGGAAATACAGTACCCATTATACCCAGGGTCCCAAACGAGGGGTACCGTATTTTGTGGATTATAGGCCACACTTTCCTATTCAATACTATACGCTGAAAAAAGCTGGTATGGTATAAAAGATATTCGCGTATTTATAGGCCGCACGTACAGAACTGAAAAAGATCATTCATTCTGGGTTGTGTTCCGGATAACATTAATTCTGTGTTCCGGATATCGGCTCACGCTTCTGCTGACTTGGATTCAAACGACGAAGCGAGTGAATTTTCGAAGTTCGAAAATGAGGAACAAAAAATTAATAAATAATCTTTTTTTCTGTTGGCAACCTGCTGACTTTTGGTATCAGAGCAAAAAGAAGTGAGAATATATTTGTTGAATTTCGTGGATCGAATCAAAGTCCATTAGTCATTCACGCATAGGCCGCATCTTCTTATCGACAAACTAGCTGACCCTTCCTTTGCGGCCTATACCCTTCAGCTTCCAAGCGAAATTAGTAGTTCGCATAAAATGCGAATACAGCTTTCACGCGCTCTAATAAAGCCAAGTAGACCCCAGATTTTCAAGAGAAATGGCAGAAATGACTAAATAAACCCAAAAGATTCAAGTACATATTTTGTTCTAGAATTGAGCTGAATTTCAAATACAAGAACTTCGGATTTAAATTAATGATCAGGGCACAATATTTAGCTAAATTTCAATCTCAAAATGAGCCTTCATCTGTATTCAGTATTGCTGCCAGTTTGTCCTGCAAGATGCTAGAATGCGGACTATTCGCAAATATCCTAAACATAGGCCGCACCTAAGCATATTAGGTTAAATTTTAAAACTCAAAATGAGGGTTTCTTTGTATTTAACATTGCTACCAGTTTGTCCTGCAAAATAATAGGATGCGGCCTATTCGCAAATATTCTAAAAATAGGCCGCACCAAAGTACATTAAGTTAAATTTTCAAAGTCTAAATGAGGCTTTATTTGTACAGTATTCAACATTGCTGTCAGTTTATCTTACAAGATGCTAGGATGCGGCCTATTTACGAGAATGTTGGACAAAGGCCACACGCAAGCATGTTACATTAAAGTTTTCCGGGAAAAGAGCGGCCTATACGCAAATATCAAGTACAGAATACCAACTTAAGGGTGGTGTGTGGCCTAGATATAACGCGGAAATTTAAAATTTAGGCCGCAACCTGAAAATGCGGCCTATAAGCGCCTAAATACGGTATCCGCACGCAGCCTATTCGACAGTCGCCTACCTTCAAACACGGTAACTGGGGTAAATTAATAGTCAACTTCTTCTCATCATCACGAAACCGCGAGGAGTCGGGTCTCATTCGTCGTCGTCGTCGTCGTGGCGTCCGCCACGGACGCCACGATGACGCCTTCGGCGCCGCCATCGTCGTCATTCGCGAACACCGACGAGTCGTCGTCATCACCGTCACCATCATCGTCTCGGTCGTCGTCGGGGTCGTCCTCATCAGTGTTGCTAGAGGCGGCCGAGTTGGATCCTACTCCTCCTCGGCCAGCAGCAGCAGCAGCAGCAGCAGCAACTACAGCAGTGCTGGCTACTGGCTGATTGGCGCAATTCGGACACGAGGACCGACGGCCGCCACCTGCACCAGCACCAGCAGCAGGTGCAACGGAGGTGGCAGCAGCAGCAGCAGCAGCAGTGGACATGCCCCAGTAGGCGTCCCTACCACCACCACC